GCTAATAAGGCAGAATGAGAACCCACAAGAAGAAGGAAAGTTATTGGCAGGACAAGGCTTGTGGGTCTTTTCCATACCTAGTTGGGAAAAGATTTTCAGAACTATGGAAACTCAGAAAGTTCAGGGTAATATATAAAAAGCTAATAATGGCTAATAAGGCAGAATGAGAACCTACAAGAAGAAGATGGGAATAGTCAGGCATAGGGGAAATAGCATCCTCTGGGTAATCAATTTATTTTATTGTGGTATTTTTGTGTAGATACACACACAAAAACTCATGTTCCCAATGCAGTTGAATGGTTCTCCTCCTGGATAGTTCATGCTGATTACAGTTCCACAGTTTTGAATATTAACTTTTTGCTCTGCTGGCTCCACAGATCAAGTTCAACCATATTTGTGTGATTTTACAGCCTCAGGACTGGCAGTTCACAGAGCTTGCTGAGGTCAAAAGGCACCAGTGGAGGTTGCACTCCCCTGCTGTAGCTGCTGAGCTGGACTAGCTGGGCAATGAAAGATCCTCCTTCCCTTCCCACTGAGAGCAGAAGTCTCCAGTCCCACTGGAGTATGCCACTTCCATTGTCTGGTGCCCTCCCTCCACTTCCATATCTTTCTCCACCTTCTTCTACAAGCGCCAGAGAGGCCACAGCACAAAGTGACAGCAGTCGGTGATACAAGTATCCTCCTCTGTGGTAGAAGAGAGACGCAATGGAAGGAAGAGTGCTTTGAGGGCACTCCTCTTTCTTTCCCTTTGTTTTCTCTAAGGTTTCACCTAGTTACATGCACAAAACTGGTGACTCAAGACACCAGAAAGAAGCAAATTCTTTAGAGAAATCACTTAGCAAAAATTGCTGACTTATAAGAACCTCGAGAAGGGCTCAGAAAAAAAACCTGCAAAGACAAAAAAAATTTTCCCTTATCACTGAGTGATGTTCTCGAGCCATCAGTATAGTTAATTTATCAAAAGGAATTATTCAATAATTATTGGAAAAAATAAACCTAAGATTTTGGAAGATGTTTCAATTTGTTTCAAATTTGACCCTTTAATTAATAGAGATTCTTAACTAAAGAAATTTTTGTGATAAATGGATATATGCTTTCAAAAGGTGCTGCCAGCGACAGCGTCAAATGCAGGGGCTCTTAGCTTAGTGCATCAATTTTTAACTTTTTTTTAATTATCGAGGTGAAAATACTCTCAAAAAGTAAACACTGAGATATGGAAAGGACCAAAATAAATGGGAAAGTTATCTTGTTTGAATTGGTGGTGATTAAAACTGTTTCTTGCACAGAGTCACAGAAAACCAGAAATGGAGTTCTAGGAAGAGCTGAATAAATTCATGCTATGTCATAGCAGAGAGAATGACAAACACTGACAATGATGACAAATTAATTTATTATATCCTCATGGAATACTGGTAGGTGCCATACTTTACTTTTATCGTACTATCAGGATATTTGGAAAGAAATAGGTGTTACAGTCTACAAAAGAGTCCTGGCATCAACACTGTATCAGGGCTCCTGTGTAGTTCATTTGTCTGGGGAGGATATGAGGTGAAACAGTTTCCAACACTTAAGTAAACATCATGCAGGATTACACAGGAACAGATCAATAACAAATTGTATTTCTATTGCTGCATTTATCTTCCAAACATTTTGCAGTTCAAAACAGAGAACCCCTCAGGCAGATTGTTGTTAACGGCAAGTCACACTGATATGAATAAAGTTGAAAAATGTTTTGTTTTCATGTGCTGTGTTGGCAACAAGGAAAAGAAACACTGCAGCAAGATGAAATGGTGCAATACCTGAGTGCTGATATAAAAGATATTTCACATGCAAGTTATAGAAACAAACATTTATTTTGTCCTGCAGAGCACATGTATCTGATCATTTACTCCAGACAATGCAACACGCATAGAAACAAACATTTATTTTGTCCTGCAGAGCACATGTATCTATCATTTACTCCAGGCTATGGAACACATTGTTGAATTTTGGTAGAATTACATCATTACAAAATTCACCTGAAACTAAGCAAGGCTTCCTAGGCTCTCAGTACAGACCTAGAAGGGAAACAGATTCATGAGAAGATGATCTGTTTCACTGGGTAATGTGCCTGGTATGAATTATCTCTGGGAGACACATTTTCTTCTCCACATTTTCTTCTCTAAAGGGAGACTGAGGTGAACAGATTAGACTAAGAAAACTAACTCTGAGACAAAGTTAAGCAAGAGGGGTTGCATGCTTCAAGTACAAATTACTGAACCAGTTTGGGTTGGAAGGAACCTTTGAAACTCACGTAGATCAATCCTCCTGCAATGTGCAGGGACATCTCCAACTACATCAGGCTGCTCAGAGCCCCATCCCATCCAGCCTTACTTTGAATGCTTCCAGGAATCCAGGAATAGGACTGATGCATGCACACACCTTGGCATCCATCTTTGTGCATATGTATATATATATATATACATATATATATATAGGTCTGAGTGTGTGCGCAATTTTTAAACAGGAAAATTCTAAAAAAAACAAATATACATGGACATATGTTTTAACACTTCTACTTCATAACGGAACCTTTGAAACTCACGTAGATCAATCCTCCTGCAATGTGCAGGGACATCTCCAACTACATCAGGCTGCTCAGAGCCCCATCCCATCCAGCCTTACTTTGAATGCTTCCAGGAATCCAGGAATAGGACTGATGCATGCACACACCTTGGCATCCATCTTTGTGCATATGTATATATATATACATATATATATATATAGGTCTGAGTGTGTGCACAATTTTTGAACAGGAAAATTCTAAAAAAAACCAAATATACATGGATATATGTTTTAACACTTCTACTTCATAATCAGATTTTATTCGGTAATAAGCAATATGGTTCGGACCATGATTCTCAACAGACAAAACCCAGAACAATATTAAAAATGTTTAGGCACAAGCAATGCTGTAATGTCCTTGGTACTTGTGGTTTCAGCTAGCCCAGTTCTATACCTGCCCCATCCTTTCTGTCTCCCAAAGGCTGAAATCATACATTCAGGTGGACTGCTCACTCCAGCAAGAGGGAGCTTAAATCTGGGGAAGGATTGTCCACCTGCCATAGCTTTTGGTGTCTGTCCTTTGCTACAGCAGGATAACAAATGCTTGCTGCAGGATGGAAACTAGAAGGTCCCTAGGCTGGACCCCTTACTCAGTTATTACTGTGTTGATGAAGATAGATAGAATTCATTAGTGTCACTGAGAATATTCTGCCACTGTAAGAATCCTGCCCTTTAAGGACAAATAGCTCCATAATTCCAAAATATCCATGTTCAATGTTACACTGGATTTTGATCACAAAAGATTAACACAGCAATAAGCAGCTGAGAGGTTTTATTATACCACAGAAATACTGGTCATGGTGGACCAAATTGTGAGCACCTGTGCCAGTGCTCAGGCCAGCCAAAAGTCAGAGGGTCAAATGAGATTTTACTGCAACCTCAAACAAAGCCATTGGACCCAGATGCTGAACTGTCCCAGTGAGTTGCAGTAAGAATTGACTCAGGCACATGTGGTCAAAGCCATATATAGCATCATTTAATGAAGTAAGGAGGGAACATGTAAACAGGGAAGAAATGTTGACTGGAGTAACTGGTTATGAAAGAAATATATTTTACACAGTGGAGGGAACAGGTGTAAGCAGAACAGGAGAAACTTTAGGCTAAATGTCATTTTTGACTCTGAAACCCTCTCATAGGTCTGCCTTGGTTCTGAAGTCCATCATTCATTCTTATGATGAGGTTTTGGGCCTTTCAGCAGATATGGGCACACCTGGGGTTTTGTTAAATATGGATTTGAGAGATGATAGCTGGTCTGACAATGCATCTCTGCAGGAGCAGAAGTGGTCATATTCTGCTGCTTTGTAGTGCTGGTGGTATCAATGACTTGAGGTGCAACAGAAGACTGGAAGAGAGTAGAAGGAAAACAGCTGTTCATGAGCTTTGTGTTTGTGACACTACTTGATGGCTCAAAGAACGTTTTACAATTCATCCAATATAACATTTCAGGGCTGCTTGCTACCACAAGTCTTACTACAATTTCCCAGTCCTTATCTGGAACAGCACAACACTGAATATTTTGTTTTTGTGAGAATTTATTAAAACAGTAGATGTTGCAGTGATCAGACTAGATTTCCATCCTACTGACAGTTTTGTTTTCTGGAAAAAGCAAGGACCACTTTCTGTGATTCTCTCCAGCCATCTCTCAGTCAGCATGCTGAAGTGGAGCACAGCAAAGACACGTCTGCCAGATGAATGTACAAAATGAAGATGTTTTGCTCCATCACCCACAAAATTACGCTGGGAATTAAGGAAATACGGACAGTGACAGTGCTCGGAAGGGTCCCACGACAGGCCCTGCGGCTGTCAGGAGGTGCGAAGTGCAGAGCGCCCGTCGCGCTCCGCCGGAGGGGAGAACAAGGAGCGGCTCCGCGGCCGCCTCTGCGCTGAGGGGACGAGGGGACCCTGCGGCCCCGTGTTGTGGCGGCCCAGGAGCTGCTCCCTGACACCGCCGGAGCCACCGCCGGCGGGGTCAATCATTAAATCCCTGGCAGATCCGCTCCCGGCCGGCTCCCCCGCACCTCCTCGGCTTTTAGCCGTGCCCTGTCCCCTTCTGGCCTGACCGAGCAGGGCGGCGGGAGGGGAGCGGAGGCAGGGACGGAGACAGCTCCCGGCAGCGGGCCCCGGTGCGAGGCGGAGCCCCGGGGCGGGAGGGCCGTCCCCGCCCGCTCGGGAGCCGTGTCGCCTCCCTGGACGGCGCCGTAGGGCACACCTGTCCCCCGCTGCCGCCCCCGCATCGCTCTCCTCCCCTTCACGGCGGCGCTCGGCCGACACGGTCTCCGGCCGCGGTGCAGAGCCCCGGCCCACGCCTCAGCCGGCGCCCCGGCCGCCGCTGCCGTCCCGCCGCCCATGGGCGCCGCCCGCGCCGCGCCGGGACGGAGCCGGCGGCGCTGAGGAGCATGGCCAAGGGACCCGAGCAGGGGGACGCCTTCCTGCACCTCCCGGCCGCGCAGGCAGTGCCCGCCGAGGCGCAGGAGGAGCGCTACGCGGGGCTGCTGGGGCGAAGCTTGCTGCCCTGCGCCCGGGAGGCGCTGCCCGAGTCCGGCGGCATCAAGGCAGGTAAAGGCGGGGAGCCGGCAGCGAGCGCTGCTCAGCCCGCGGCAGCCGCTGCTCGGGCTCCGGCGGGAGGGGCGGCAGGCGGGAGGGGCGGCTGGCTGCGGGACCGTAACGATGCCCCCGGGCCTCTCTTCTTGTCCCCCGCGGCGCTCAGAAACTCGCTTCGGCAGCGAAGCCCTCTCCTCGGAAGAAGAGGATGCGGATGCTCGCGACGGCGCGCTGACAGCCGCCGACCAAAGCCCGTCTTCGAAGAGGAGCATCACGCAGATCATGAAGGACAAGAAGAAGCAGACGCAGCTCACCCTGCAATGGTAGGGCTCCAGGGAGCCCCCGCTGCCCGCCCTGGGGGCTCCAGGACCGAGCCGGCGTGTCCGTCACGCTCAGCGGGACCCTTCTCTAACAGCTGAGCCGGCCAGGAGGGCGACAGCTCTTTTAGAAAGAATTTGTCATTTTGGAGGTGTTTCGTTTGTTGGTTTTTGTTTTCTGTTTTTGTTTTGCGGGTTTCTTTTGGATGAGCCTCATCTGCAAATAAGGACACCCATCCCCAGATTTCTGAGTTTTGAAATTATCAAAGATTTGTCACATAATAGAAGTCTCAGATTCTCAGACTATGTGGCTATCAATGAAATGTATCATCAAAATGTAGAAATGAAACATTATGTAAGAATTGCATTTGTGACCAGTTAAATTTTCACTGTCTTATAATGCATTTCTTTTACATTATATTCTCCCGCCCACTGAGGACCTAACTTTGGTTTATTTTATCTGGGGAAAAAAAGCTAACCAAATAAGAGGTCAAATTCTGCAGACATTAATTGATAAATGTTTATATTAAAATACACTTGAAATTAGGGAAGAATTCTGTTGAATTAAGTGGGACCTTAATTACAAAATGCAGACTCTCAATAGAGATATTTTTCCTTCTATCTGAAAAATTAGACTAATCCAAATTATTCCGTTCATTATTCTAGTTTACTTCTGATTGTAAATAGTTAAGGATTTGTGTCTGGAAAGTCCATACAAAATTATTCCATGTGCAGCACTTACTACACAGTATTTTCTTACAAATTTATGTAATTTGAGAAACAAATGTATTGCACATCATCCCAAGAGTAGTGAACAATGTTAAATGATGAAGAAAAAAACCAACAGGACAGAGAAATACCCAGCTCTTACCAAAGGCTCTCTTCAAGTAAAAATAGTCAGGTTTTTGCTTCAGTTTTAAAAATTTTACTTTAATGACCATAACTCAGCACTTGTATTCTGTAAACTGATTGGGAAGCTACTTAGAAATTCACCTTCTTCAAAAAACACTGTTCTTTGTTTTTTCCACTGTGGTTTGATGCATTTCTAGGTCCAGAGTGGAAATTAAAAAGCAAAACAATGAAGAAAAGAGACATTAGCTCAGCTGTTGAGGATACAGTGAGACAGAAGATGCAAGTCCAGGTCCCTGGTATTAAATCCTTTCAAAGGACTGACTTAAACCCAGGTCTTTCATAGTCTAGTTAAGTCTCTTATTTTCAGACTAAGGCTGGCTCTTAGGTGATGATAATTTAGTTATTTAAATAAAGCAAAAAAGTGCTGACATTGAAAAAGACTCATTAAGAACAGGGATCTGGCTCCAGTTTTCCATATGCTGCAGCTAGCCTAAGCAGCAAGTGTGGAGTCTGTCTGTAGTGCCTGTCATGTTCAGGAGAACCTCACCTGTGTGCTCTGATGGAATTCTTCAGTAAAATAAAAAAAAGAAAAACAACCAAAAAAAGAGAGCAAAAACTGGGAAATACAATTAGGAGAAATGGCATGTTGCTTCTTACTCTGGCAGTTTCTTTCTCTACACAGGCTGGAAGAAAACTACATTGTGTGTGAAGGAGTTTGTTTACCAAGATGCATCCTTTATGCACATTATTTAGACTTCTGCAGAAAAGAGAAGCTGGAACCTGCCTGTGCTGCAACTTTTGGGAAGGTAATAACTAAATGCCTTAATAATTTGTTAGGTCAGTTGTTTGGAAGAGTCACAGTTTAGTACACCTGTGTAAGAATTCTTCTGTTCTTCTGAAATTCACGTTTTTTACTGATAATGTACATGTAATCAGACTAACTATAACTACACTGTCTCCTATGAAGGCATTTCACCTTCAGGAGATTGAAGCTGAAATTCCCTTTGATTTATTGGTTCGTTTACAAAAAAAACCACAAAAAACCACCACCAACAACAACAACAAAAAACATTCTCTCTGAATGCTTCTTTTCTTTCCCTTTTTGTTCATGACATTAATAGGTTCTTTCCACAAAACCAGATCTGATATGGAGGACACTTATAATTATACTAAAGGCAGTGTAAGGTGAGATGTGATACAGGCAATACTACTAGAAGGGGAAAAGAAATTAATAACACAAAGAGCTTCCAAATGAAAAATTGTTGATTCGTTCTCTTTTCTACCCTTCCCTACAATTAATCCTGAAGTAATTTAATGTATGAGAGATGTGAACTTTTCAAATTAAATCCTGAGTATTTAGTGAAACAGGAAACCGAAAATGTTTCAAGGATCATCTTTTTTAAGCACTACTGATCTAGCAATGATTTATACATAGAAAAATGCATTAATTTAATTAAATAATGGATTTAAGATCTGTTTTATAAGATGTTAATTTCCTATTTAATTCCTCTTGAACTGGATATACTAAAAAAGTGAATATCTAGTTTTCATATACAGTTTCAGTATAAATGAGAAAGACAATAGGTTCCATTTAAACATTATTTTGACAGTGATCTGTCTATTAGATATATCTATTAGATCTACCTCTATTACTGAATTAATTTTTCAGATCACACTTTCAAATAAAAAAATCAATTTCATTCTAGTTGTTTGTCTTTGAAAATAGAATAGCTAGAGGGCAGTTTTTCCTGATTTTGTTTAAATCTCTGAAGCAAAAAATACAGTTGTACTTAAGGAACTTGAACATAATAGGATTATGGTGAAGACAGCTAGATTTTAGAAAGGGAAAACAGGTGGGAAGACTGGAGATACACAGCGAGATGGACAAGGATGGAAGAAAGACTACAGTGTGAAACATGGACTAATCGTTTATGTTGTGCCACAAGTATCAAAAATATTAATTCATGAACTACCTTAGACCATATGTTTACACTACAATTTTTCTATAAACAGATCGCTAAGAAAGTTTGCCAGTGTTAGAAATAAATGCAGTTATTTTCTCTTTAGACCATTCGCCAGAAATTCCCTCTCCTTACCACAAGGCGGCTTGGAACACGGGGCCATTCAAAGTAAGGCACAATTACATATGTATCTGCTTATAGAACACATTTTAGCAATCATCTGCATTTCCACGTCTCCTTAATATGTACTAATTGGCAGGGGAGTTTATTCAGATGGTACACTGAAAGTGATAACTTTCATGTGCATGTTGAAACTGATGCTCAAACGTAAGCATTTAAGTTTGAAAGCACTGCTGCATAACTTTTAAATTAAACTGATTAAGCTTCTAAATCTTGTCATTGCATTTATAGACCCATGCATATGTTGCAAATATGTGTCAAAATATTAGATATAAAAATCGTTTATAGCACGTCTTTTTATAGCTTCTCATCTTTCTACAAATAGTGATTTTATTTCTCTTTTGCAAACCTAACACCTTTCATTGTGTTCTCTATGTAACAATATGGGTTCACTTAAATGCACCACCAGAAAAAGCATTGTTTTAAATTGAAGTTAAGCAGAAATTCCCTCTCCTTACCACAAGGCGGCTTGGAACACGGGGCCATTCAAAGTAAGGCACAATTACATATGTATCTGCTTATAGAACACATTTTAGCAATCATCTGCATTTCCACGTCTCCTTAATATGTACTAATTGGCAGGGGAGTTTATTCAGATGGTACACTGCAAGTGATAACTTTTATGTGCATGTTGAAACTGATGCTCAAATGTAAGCATTTAAGTTTGAAAGCACTGCTGCATAACTTTTAAATTAAACTGATTAAGCTTCTAAATCTTGTCATTGCGTTTATAGACCCATGCATATGTTGTAAATATGTGGTAAAATATTAGATATAAAAATTGTTTATAGCACATGTCTTTTTATAGCTTCTCATCTTTCTATAAGTAGTGATTTTATTTCTCTTTTGCAAACCTAACACCTTTCATTGTGTTCTCTATGTAACAATATGGGTTCACTTAAATGCACCACCAGAAAAAGCATTGTTTTAAATTGAAGTTAAGGTATACCTCTGCTCTTTGTTGTGGGTATTTTATAAAGTTCTGAAAAGTACACCATCTTTAGTGTAGTTGTTTCATTAATAATGTATCCTATTAATTTGTATATTTGATCTGTAAAATATTAGCTTGTAGGAATAGATCATAGACAACTCTATATCACCTGGTGCTAAAATTTTTCTTGTTCTCGTTCTGGAACTATGCTTTTGGCCATGAATAATTTAGTGTAAAACTGTTGTGAAGAGTGGTGATACACATATTCTCTCACATCCATTTTGCTAGTGAATAAGACAGAAAACTAGAAAAATGATGGAAATAGGAGAAACTCAAAACATTCTCTTTGATTAGGAAAACTCTTTATTTTGAGCCACTTAGCCTTGAAAAACAAAGTTGCTCTTGTCTTTCAGTAGTTTATAAGCAAAAATCAAAACAAAAGGAGACTGAAAAAAAAATCGACAAGACTAGTTTTCCTAAGTGCTTTGCAATATACTAGAAATATCTGAAAGATAATTTTTTTTATTTTCATAGTTTTGGGGAGTTATTAAATATTGTTATACTTGGTTTTCTTCCTGCCTTAGAAATACAAGAAATAGCTAGTTGTTCCACCTTAGTTTTGCTGAAGAATGAATGAGATGCCATTTGTGAATTTTAGGTTTTGTTGCAGAAAAAATGAAGGTGGGGAAGAATTTAAATTCAAAATTTTTGCAAAGACATTCTATTTCTTGAGCATGTCTTGAGCATTTGTTTTAAATAACCATTAATAAAAAATAAAATCCAAAGGAAATAAAGTCTTCATAGAACATTATTCCTTTTAAAAAATATTTTATTGTTGGTTTTAACAGAGGATAGTTCTGGCATAGTGTCTCTCACAGTCTTACAAATTTGTAATCCATTCACCTCTTTTAGGAAACAGAACACAGCCTGCAATGTATAGAGGAAAACTGGAACTGAAGTTCATTTCTCTTTTTGTAGGTGACCTATAGATGCTGAGTAGAGGTGTTTTGAAGAGAGCAACTATTAGAAAGGTTATTTATTAGGAGAAAGAGGGATTTTGTGTATTGTCTGCTGTGGTGAACTTAAACTGTGATTACAGGCATAAGACGATGTAGACATAGCTTTGCTGCTGGTGTTCTGTTTAAGATTTTAAGAGGTCTGGCATTCACAATCTGTACAGGAATATTTGACAACGTGCTAAGTCATCAATGCTGTGGTGAATTCTTAGTCAGGTTCATAATCCAACATGTTTGATGAACTACTTAGTTACAATGAATGAGATACTGCAAGGGAGAAGCCTCCCATATGCTCATTATATGCTTGTTCTGACATAACTGACAGACTGATAGACAGGATCCAATGAGGATCCAAACTTCCAAACATATCCTGTGTCTGCATGATTTGAGCACAATAAGACAATTAAGTAAATGACAATGTTTCAAATATCCATATAGCTACAAAATTAATTGTATTGGAATATGTGTCACTGTAGTCCACTTTTCTCAAAGACATGAAACAATATTAATATAGAAATAATGCATGCCCAACATTTCTTTGGCAGATTCCATATCCCTGCTGACCTTGTTGGTATTATGTGCCATATTTTCATATGGATTAACTGTTCTTGAACAATTTCCTCAAAGAAATGAGGCATCATCAGCTTTTGTTTGAACATCTGGCACTTGTTTCTCTGTATTTTTTCATCAGTTTTCCTCAGAGGCTTTTCCTATTCAATTCTCAGTTCTGCTAAGGTGCACTTACCTTGATCTTGCTGTGCTAAAAAGGACCTCATAAAAGGCACAAATGACAATATTTCCAGTTTAGAGACCCAATATAGCAGCAAGTAGTCATATAGAAGTGTCAGTATAAATCATAGAATTATAGAGCACAGAATGATAGAATGGTTGGGGTTGGAAGGGACCTTAAAGATCATCTAGTGTAACCCCTGTGCCATGGGCAGGGACACTTTCAACTAGGCCAGGTGGCTCAAAGCCCCATCCAATCCAACCTTGAACACTTCCAGGGATGAGAGATCCACAGCTGCTCTGAGCAACCTGTGCCAGTGCCTCAACACCTCACTGTAAAGAATTCTTTCCTAATATCTAATCCAAATCTAGCCTTTTTCAGTTAAATGATCTCTGATAATCAATTTTTCAATCTGTGGTGTTGTGGCCCGTGTCCCCCTCAGAAATACAGACTTGATGAGGAGTAAATGAATTTCTGATTCATTCTAAGTAACAGTTAGTCAAACAAATATTATTTACACAAGTATTTCCATTAAATTAATAATAAAGTTAAGGGACTGTTCATCAGTTTCAATAAATTACTAGTTATTCTCTTTTTATGTTAGCATGACTCTTAAATGTTGCAAGCTGTTTCTGAGTCACTGGGACTAGTAGGAGAGTTGTTAGTAGCAATTAAGTCATATTTTTTAAAGCACAGTAGTGTAGTAGTGACATGATATTATTTCTGTCTCTGCTATCTTTATTACCATATAATGCTAGCAGGAGCAGTATTAGCACTCACTATTCCTAGCAGTAATGTTTTATATAGCAATATTGCCCTGGAGATCTGATCATTGCCCAGGACTCCAGATGCTGCAAAAGCATAAAATGAAGAAGACAATTCTTCTCCGATGGAATAATTGTTCTTAAATTTTAGAGAAAAGTTAACACCCTGGGAAAAAAGTGCCTTCCTGGACACTTCAAGCATGCATGGTAACCTATTGGTAAAGTCTGGCTGTGATCAGAAGAAAGCAAAGAAAAGAATTTCCTTTTTCCATCATCTTCAAGGTGTTGGAAATTGTTTTTCTCCCTCTCTGAAACAGGCTCTTTCTGACATCCTCATGAACATGAATTTGATTTGAGGAAAAGCTCCTGCACTAACATATGGAATACAGTTGCTGTTGTAAGGTGTGAGATGCCCAGATGTTAGTTCTTCCTCTGTTCCCAAATAGCATTTGTCTTCTCTAGTTCAGGACAAAGGATAAACTTAAAACTGAGTCTGATGATCCCTACAATTCAAGTCAGAATCTCTCTCTGTGTTTGCATCCAACAACCCATTTGTGCAAAAGTGTCAGTACTAAAACTCATTTAAACATTTGGCCAAGAATGTCCAACACATTGGACACAATTTTGTTAACAAAATACGTTAGTCTCTCATGCCCATGCTAATCACTCTACATAGCTGAAAGTAAGGGAAATTTTCTGTTTTCACTCTGCTGAGTGAAAGAAAATGCAGCACCATAAATACTGCAAACTGCTCTCTTAGATTAGTGTTTCATAAGCAACAGCTCTCTGTTCTGAATCCAGAAGATTTATGCAGTGGTAATTTTGAACATACCATGGTCAGTCCTAGAACTCAGCTTTAACTTTCACAATACACAAATCACCTGAAGCAGAAAATGTACAAACTGCTGAGTCCATACACACAGGAAGACTGTTTGAGCTCAAGTTACAATTTAATTTCTTTGTAGACTTTGATCAATGATGAATCTTAGCTTTTATCCATCATGTCTGAAAACTATTATCTTATTTATTAGGAGTGATTTAGTGGGTTAATAAAACTGATATGGCAGCTGGCCCTGTGATAAGAAGTTATTGCAAGTCCCTGAACAGCTTAAGCCTATCATTTCCTTATCAGCTATCATTTGTGTCAGTGTGTGCTAAAATCAGAGCTACAAGTTGTGTAGGAACATATGTTACAACAAACCACTGAAATTAAAAGAGAAAAGTAGTTCAGCTTGTTTTATAAAATGTTTGTCTCAAAAATTGAGAGTAAATTCCTTGTAGTAACTGATTACATTTTGTTAATTACACAACAGAAAAAAAAATAGTAAAATACAAATATACTGAACCTAAAAATATGCACATAAAGCGATAGAAGGCATTTGAAGATGTAGGTTAAAGATGTTGTCAATGTGTCTGGTATGGTTATACTGCTCTCAACAGGGAGCCCAAAACTAATGGCTTGTAAGAGAATAATAATCTTCATACCCTATTACTCTATGGAGGATGCCAGACAGAGCTTGAAAAGTAAAATTATATTATTTTTAATAGTTTCTCTGTTGTGAATGGAAAGTTCTGTTTTTTAGCAGTAAAAATTCAACTGCACATTATTGAAGAAAAAGGGAATGATACATGCTGTGCCTTTATTACACAATGAATATGTACTGAAAATATCTATTCTCTACATAACAAGATGTCTCAATAATAAATTCTGATATCCTGGGACATTCCAGCAGGAGCAAGTATATTGCCTACGATTGGATACTTGAGAATCTGAATCATACAACAGTTCCTGTTCCTTGTCCAAATATATTAATATTGAATTAGATGTGGAATAATCTAGATATTGAATCATAACTTAATAAAGAATTAATACTTTTCCTTGCCTCTGGTCCACTCCAGCCTTAACTGGAGGGAATGCCAAATTTATGGTGAAAGTGTAAAAGTCTTTATTTTAGAATTTTAAAAATGGCATGTGATTGAAGCTGAGAGATTTAAACTGTTGGAATGAGACGTGGGCAGCTGCTTGCTTACATGGCCAATGACAAATGGACAGATAACATTGTTAAAGAAGCAGTCACAACTCTATTCTGTTTTTTCATCCTGTTCAATGGACACCATTTGCCATGTAAAGAGTAAGTAAATGCTGTCATTTCAAAGAATCCATACCTGTATATTTTCAATACATCTTATGGCACAGTAAGGAAACTGTGACACTTTTAAGTAAGGGGAGACACTTTCAGCTTTCCTAGGGGTTGAAAGGTGCTACAGTGATCTTGCAGTGTTATGTGGACTCACCAGTTTCAGGAAATAATTTCAGGAAATATTCAGGAAAACAGTAAAAGCAATGGTGCCACGTTCTGTCATGTTTCTTGGCTGTAAAATTCTGAATGCACACAACAGACTGTCCAGAAACAGAAAAATTATTTCTGAGATTGTCACAGCTGCCTAGGCTAGGCAAATATATCATCCTAATGAACATTTTCTTAGGCATAATTTGTATCTAATGCCTTTAACCAGCTTTGTAAATATAAAGTACGTGAGGGTTTTGTTCTTACCTGTAACAGTTCCATACACGAACAAGCAAAATATTGTGACTTTTTTTTAATGTTCATCACCAGGAACAACAGAGATGAGATGAGATGAGATGAGATGAGATGAGATGAGATGAGATGAGATGAGATGAGAGTAACACTTTTGTTGATGTGTTCTATGAACTATGTGCTGGGGTTTTTTGTCTTTAGAATGCATTTCTTCAAGCATTTCTTCAAGGAGTTTGAGTGAAATCGGTGCAATGTGTTGCAAAGTGGTACTTCGAAGCAGCTCATGGTACTTTCAAGCTAATTTCAGTAAAAAGCAAATTAACCTTTCTATTCTACCCATATAACATTCTTAGACAAATTTGGTTTAACACAATCAGTTTTAAAATCTATTGGGTGGAATTTATAAGACAGGGCCTATCAACTTTGATAGATGAACTCAAGCAAACTTTGCTATGACCAGTAAGGAAAGAGCTGCCCCCAGCTTGCTCTCCTGCCCTTCTCTCAGAGGTCACTTATTTTGTAGCAAAATCAGTGGAAAGCAGTAAGTAGCTACTGCACAGCCAGTTTTCTTAGCACCAACCCAACTTTCTTTGCATCTTTGGTGTCTTTGGTTACGATGCTGGGTGTGAGCACTGCAAAACCTGAGCAATAGGCATATTTCCTTTTTCAATCTGTATTTGGGAGCAGTAATCTCCAGGAGAGCAACAAGGGAGATGAATGTGGATGAAAAGTGCCTAAATGGCTTAATAATTTAGAGTTAGTCAGCCCATAACCTGACAGAAGAATGAATGAATGACAAAGGGAATGTGGATGAAAAGTGCCTAAATGGCTTAATAATTTAGAGTTAGTCAGCCCATAACCTGACAGAAGAATGAATGAATGAATGACTTACTATCATTGTTAGTCATAGGTGACTGAACACTAAGTTATGAGGTACACTGGCAAGCTATTTTCAACTGAGAAAGGCTCTGAGGGATTGTCTAAATGTAATGGTGGCAAGTGAGATAAAATGAACCTGATAGATCAAACCCAGCACCCTTTCAAGCAAACGAAGTGAAGTGAAACAGAAGGCATTTTAGGGAGAAGAGATGTAACAAGTTTCTGAGTTTTCTGTTCTAGCTATATTCTTCTAGTAAGAGATAAAGTATTTTAATTTTAACCCTTGAATTTGGATCAAATCATGACAACACTCTTTTCTATGAGACTAGATTTTGTTTCATGTCTGAAAGGAATTTTTAGACCCCCTTTAGAAAAGTTTTCAGAAAGAATTTAAAATCAGTGTGACAGCTTGCTTTACTTTCAATTTGGCAGCTTGGTTTACCTGACATGTCACTCATAAATGCTCCTTTTTTTTTTTTTTTCCTTTTTTTTTTTCCTCCTGCAGATATCACTATTATGGAATTGGAATTAAAGAAAGCAGTGCATATTACCACTCTGTGTATTCTGGAAAGGGCTTAACCAGGTAAAATAACTTCTGAGACTTGAAATCAGTGAAAGTCTAACTATAACCTTCCCTTAGGAAGGTATATGTAGGACTCTAATTTTTGTTTCTACCAGAACTAGAATTGATGGTTATCTCAGTGTTTAAAAACTTGATCTCTGTATTTTGCTTGAGTCTTCCAGTTTGACCCCACCACAGTCAGTGTAGAGCTGTCAACTTTTAACAGCAGAACATTTGCTCAAGTTTGGATGAGGGGGCAAAATCCCATTTGCAGAACACTTTTCTAATTTTGTTTGCCTGTGTGTCACCCTGTGAGTTCTTTGCCCAGGACAGCTTTCCATTATGAAACGCCTGGAGAACGGTGTGAAGCTGGCACCTGTGGGGCAGGAGGGAGGGGTCAGTGTAGATTAATATTTACAGGTCCTTTGACTGGCTAATATCAGTTTAAACCTAACCCAGGAAGCTCTAATTATATTTATTTAAGGGACAGCTAGCAGGATCAATACGTTACGATAGCTGCTTGTTGGTTTGCCAAAGATTAATAGTTCGTAAAACAAATGTCTCTGTTCACATATGGCTTGAATGACGGCTTTCATTGTCTGTGACAGTATACCTGGATAAGTGGGACTCTGAGAAAGGAAAGGAATAAATGAGTTTATAATCACACATAGAAAATTTGACTGGTGGCAGATTTAGGTCATATCCAAAGAGACCTTTTCCAAGCAATAAGACGAGTGTGCAAATTGAGGGTAATGCTGCCAATGATGCTTAAAAAGGGAGGGTTCTCTCCACAGCAGTACTTAGGGTATAATAGATTGGAATATTCTATTTATTTTTCTGATATGTATCCAGAGCTTTGGAGGTGCTGCTGGTACACAGTGTAATTTTTTTTCATAATACAGAATTATCTTGAACAAATTGTCCATTTTGTTGACTAAAAGACAGTTATTTTCATTTAAAATATTATAATAATTCTTACTCCTTAGTTTATGTCAGTCAGGCACAGTCTAGTAGCAATGAGTGCAAAGAAAGTGGGGGTTCTGCAAAATTCCCCAGTGCTGGATTTCTGAAGGAATACACTCACATGAAGATGGCATAGATACTGTCTAAGATTTTCAGGACTACTCACTAGATTCACTAATTGGGAATCTTTTATTTGTGTTTAAGACCTGTATGAGATATTGAATTTTCAGGGTCCAGAAGTTCAGCTGCCTCCCTATCTGAATTAAAGCAGAAGCCCAGATGCTCATTTTTCACAGTCTGGCCCATCACAGTAGCTGGGTTTTTGTGTGTGAAGAGAATAATGCAGTTGCTTGGGGTTAAGAACAAGCTTCTGGATAATGAAAAAATCAGGCAATGTAGGGATTCAAAATTCCTACATATAGTGATCCATAAATCTGTCCTTTACGTCTCTTCTAGTTTTTGGGGCTCTGAAAGAGCAGTGCTAGCAGATGCTCCTTTTTGCTGTTCATGCAGTACATTTTGCTGAACATGTGGAAATCCAGAGTCCAAAACAAATACATCTAGCCTTGAAGTTAATTAGATCCATGTTGTAATCAGCTGAGTGATGCCTTCATTTATACTTAACTATCAACATGCAAGGGAACTGTCTAGGTGACACATGCTGGATTATCCCAGTGGTGGGAACTGTCAGGCACCTGTGCCAGGCCTGGGCAGGAGGAATTCCTCAACTGTTCAGCCTCTGGATTTCTGAGAGCATCTCAGAGAGGAGGAAACAGCCAGGGAGCATCTCAACAGCAGGAAACAATGATATTGCCTCTAATAATTATGAGACTTCATATTGCCCACAGTATCTTATCAGTTGGCAGCTAGTGGTACAGGAAATAACAATAATCAAACAACATTTATCATTATAATGATCAATTAGAATCGCTATTATTGCACATTCTCTACTTTAGTAGTTGTAATTTAAAATGTTCTTTCTGGTTTCTGCACCAAAGGGTTGTCTGATAGTCCAATGACTTCACTGGGAATCTCTCAATTGGACTCTTAATAGGACATTCACTATACGGCAACATATTTTTGCCAATTAAGGAATCTTTTGTCTCAGAAATTTATGTAATTAGGTCAAAATAGTACTGTAATGAAAAAGAATGGGAAATCACTATGATTTCTTAATTTTTCCGAGAAATGTAAATTAGATAGATAGATAGATAGATAGATACTTTTTCTACTCTGAATTTACTCAGCTCTGTTAAAAACTGCATGTATTTCCCAGTAAAGACATTATGGACTTGCACCTATAACAACATTTTGCTGTTTGTGAAGTGGCAAAGATCCAAACAAAAACATGAAACTGGATTTTATACTTTAGTCAGTGGTCTTAATCTTCATGTTTTATAAGACATCAGTGGGTTTCCTGTTATCCCCAAGCATTTGAAAATGGAAGTGGAAGTTAAAGGAAAAAAAAACATTTAAAAAAACATAAAAAACTGTAATTGCATTTGGAAAAATGTGATAATTTTTCTAATAGATCATACATCTATATAATCTCTACAAATGTTCTGCCTAGGAAAAAATAATTAAATGTGTTTATTTTCAAAGGTTCTCTGGAAGCAAGCTAAAGAATGAGGTAAGCATTTCTGTTATAATACACGTATTATGTGACCTGTGGTTTCCTTCACATTTTTTTTCTTTGAGAATTGCAGCATTATTTTTCATTAAATATTAGACCGCATAACCTTTCTTAACAAAGCTGAGTATTTGTTCCTCTAAATATTCAAAGAAAAATAAGATTGGAAAACACCTTTTAGGGTCCCCATTGCAATCCAGTTACCCATAACCGTATTTAAGCAAAGGATCAAGCTCCAGCTTTATTTTTTTTGCATGTTACTTTAACAGGAGGTCTTTTTCAGAATCTTGTATGTCTGACTGGAAGCTGAAAAGAACTTTTTTTTTTTTAAATAAGTTTGTGTCTCCTGGTCAGTATTGCCTCTCTCTATTTTTTGCTCTTCATGACATTTTGTTCTTATGTCTTTTTGCTGCTTTTGCTTGCTGGATGGGACAAACAGCAGCTTTTAGTAATTTATATCAGCCATATAGCCTTCCACTGTACTTGTTCTGATTTGAATATATTTAGAGTAAAATAAATCATAAAGTCTTGTAAATGGTATCTTTCCAATTGCTATTGAAAATATCCCTTCTGATGAGCCCTAGAAAGGGATCTGGTTTGTTGGTTTTTGTTCTCCAGCCTCCCACAAGTAGGCTATATTTTTATTACTGTATACTATAGTATAGTCACTGTCACTCTGGTCAAATTGTTAAGAAAATTATGTATTATTGTGCATTAAAGGTTAAGGGCTGCTCCAAGTATTTTTATTTGGTACTGAGTTCAACTGGCATGGAATATCCCAAATCCATATTATTAAACTGAACCTGCAAAAGGACATAGGGACATCTCTGCTACATTGCCATGAAGAAGTGTCTCTAATGTGCAGTACGTGTTGGAATACAGCTGGAGGTGTTTGGGATACTGCTAATTGGTATGGGCCAAAAGAATGCCAGAGGCCATTCTGAGTGATACTGTTCCAGTATTGCTTGGGAATGTTTCCTGACACCATTTAATTTACTAGACTAACCATATCTTCTCTGATCAACTGATACACAGTAAGCCTTCCACCTTTTTAATTTCCAGATAAGCAACTCCTAGCTGATAGCAGACATTTTTATTTGTCCCTGAGAGTGTAGTTTTACTCTATTGATCTTCATCCCCCTTATTACCATTATCTCAAAGCCATCCATGTCTTTCTACATGACCTCTTGGTCTTTCTCTGTTGATGATTTTGTTAGCTCATGTCAACCAATTTAGTCTATGAAATGTTCAGTCAGATCAGCCCTAAGTCTGATCTTTGGGAATTTTCACTTCAATCCCTTTTCAACCCAGTAGTTTCCTTGTCAACAGAACTTGTTAGCATTTCAGCCAGAGTCAGTTTCTTAAATATTTTTACATTCTTTTGCTAATCCCCACTCTCACCAGCATAACTGATCATTTCCCATGGTGACACCATGTCAAGTATTTTAGTGAGGTTCAGATAGATTAGATCCATTGCATTTTCCCTGTTCAGATAATTGGCTATCTTATCAAAAGAAGATAGTGCTATGCCACGGGATATCCCAAACATATTCATGAGCACTACTGAAGCATTCATTCGTTCAGAGTTTTGGGATGGAATATATCGGGTTCCTTTGGTATAAATGGATGCATATTTTCTTTCATCTCTGATGTGGCATTCCCAGTCTGCCTTGGAATTGACAATCCTACAAATCTGTCTTGTTTCTGACCAAAAGTTCCTCTATTCTCCCAGAAAAAAAGTGTTCACAGATAAGTCAGTGGAAATAAATGAGAAAGGGCACATCATTGTGAGTTCTGGATTGTCTAACTTAGTATCATCTAAAATTTTTCAGGCAGGTCTTAAGAGGAAAAAAGTCTTTCATGGTCAAAACTGAATTACAATAATCTCAGTGTACTGAAATTTTGGCATTATATTTTCATTAGTGTGCACAGGTGATAGATAGGTCCTTTTTCATTTGCTCGAAAGTACATGCAATTAGGTATTCCAAAAAGATTTACAACAATTGCATAAGGTGTAATTCTCAGCAGGGACATAAAGACATTGAAAAGATGTTAAAGCACTGATTGTCTAAATATACTGAGTAAATGGCATTTGAATGAACACTTATTGAGTGCCAGGGACACTGTTTACTTCTGGTATGTTTTATCACATTTTCTAGTATTCTCTCTGTAGGGGGAGATATCAGCAAATTCTTTTATCTAAACCAGTTAGTGCACCATTAGAGTCTGCATGGTTAATTAGGCAGATAATATTACTGTCATTATCTTAATGTTAAATGGCCATTAGAAACAGATGGCATTAAATTGAAAGGGCAAGTGGCATCAGGTTAAAATATTAAGCCTAGAACTAAGGCACAGTCATATAAGTCCATTAGCAAGGTAAAAAACATTGCAGATTATCTTCTCTTAAACCTTGCACCACAATCACTGCCTTTTTTAAAAATGAACAAATCCCTTTGAATCAGAGCTTTTAATAGATTTCATGGGTAATTGCATAATAAAATCATTAGAATTACTCCTGTTAAAAAAATACCCTCCTTATTTCCTGATAGGCAATTATAACACTGTAGAAGTATTGACATGAAGAAATACTAATGTTTCTAAATTTCTGCAATTTCTTTTACTTAGAGCTTTATATGTGTTTGAATAGTAGATAACACACGCAAAATTAGTTTACATGTTTACATTAGTTTACATTAGTTTACATTTGTTTGCTTTTGTTTTTTGCTGTGTGTTTTGTCTGACATATCACCCTACAAAAATAGGGCTATATTTATGTTGCGTAAGTCAGTTACAGGTATGGTTTTCTGAATTTAGTATTTGAGAGAATGTCACTTGAAACTGGCCTCCAATTTAAAAGTCAGCATTTACAGAAAAATAGTCTCATTTGCACACTTTTACACTATATGCTCTACTGTATACCTACCATTCCCACTTCAGTGAAATCTTACTGTAGGTAAAGGGGCAGGAAAAGGTTCAAGTTCCATTCAAATGCCTTATGCAAGATCATAAATTTCAGACATTAGTACAGAGGGAATCTGCACAGCAGTAGTAAGATTTTCCACAGGAATACACAGAAGGCCAGCGTGTGGCTCTGCATACTGACTTTACATAAGGACTGGTTAGGCTAAGATAGAACGAAGATTTTAAGCCAAATGGTTTTTAGATTTGAATGCAGTCCTATGAGAATAACTACAATTCAGCCAGTAAGGGCAGAACCATAGCACAGATTGTATTTCTTCTCTTGAGCATGAGGGTTTCACCTTAATCATAACATTTCAGAGCTTAAGAGTGTTCTGTGGAGTTTAGATACAGACACTTATATATATAGATATAGACATTTAATAACCTTCCTGAGCAGGGGTCAAGGTCTAGGTAAACATCAATATTTTTGAAGGATTATCTGAAATCAAGTGTTGTGGAACTTTGAAAGACTCATGAAATAATATTCGAGTTTAGCATGAATTTTGGTTTCAGATGCAACAGTATTTCAATGTTCTTGTTTTTTCCCTTCTGTTTCAGGGTGGTTTTACTCGTAAATATTCTCTGAGTTCCAAAACTGGAACACTCCTCCCAGAGTTTCCAAGTGCTCAACACCTTTTGCTTCAAGGGTGCATTTCTAAAGACAAGGTAAAAAGTGAGCTCCTTCTCTTCTGTCTAAGAGATCAAAAATTTGCCACAGAATGTTTCTTCATATCTTAGCCTTTGAGGTATTGACATGAAAGAGCCAGAAATGTCCATAATCAAACAGAGGTGACTGATTTATAGAGGGGGCAAACCTTTACTAACACCGATTAACCGACTTTCCAATGGAAAGGTGGTTGAATTATTTACCTATTAACTGACCCAGTATTTTACAAACTGATGGTATGTAAGACGGGGAGAGCAAAACAAACAAATAACCAAGAGTTGTATTCTTTACAAATGCCTTTGGATTTAAGGTAAAATTTGTTCTGATTAGAACAGAACAAATAATTCACAACAAATAGTTAGATGAATTTTACTGTCTTTCCTTAATTATTTGAAAAACAGCTGAAAATCTGAACATGTTTGGGTTTTTTAAAATTACTTAAATCATTCCTCAAATCAATACTTGGCATTACTTACACTAAGGATAACTCTTCAGCTGGAAATACTTCTCATTTTTTATGAGTCTTTGATTCTTTTGCTGTGTGTTACATCTGTGTTGTTTCTTGTCCCCTTACAAACTGCTACATTGTGCTAGAAATCCTTTGACAGACATTTTGAACTTTTCAATTTAGTCTTCAGTGCTGGTGATAATGGTGACTGGTTTGAGACACACTGTTTTGTGAGCCCCTTCTCCTAAGCTTGTTCTGAGAAAATAGTGAAGCCTAGGATTCCTCTAGGGAGAAGCTAAACAAAAGGAGCTGGCTTAGCTGGAAATCTTACCATTCATAAAGAAAGCCCAAGAACTGGTATACTTAGCAGCATGCACTACCTGCTGCTATAGTCTTCATCAGTAAAGTGACATCTCTCATAGAGACAGCATTCTCATTAAATTTAAATCTGACAAATGTTTGAGGTTCTTTGGAGACCCAACACAGCAGTATAAACAAACTGATTTTTACTGCTCCAACAATGGAGAAAAACTGGCAATTCATTCTCTCTTCATTTTTGGCTCAGCAGCATTGCGCATGACTGTCTGGGGACAGACTTACTGAGTTATGAGGAGGCTGTGGGAAAGATGAATTTCTGTGTATCCTGCATTCTCTTTCCTTGCTGCTCTTTTCTCATTTCTCGTTTTCTTCTTTCCTGTCCTTCAGGATTTCCTTCCTTTTCCCTCCTTCAACTTATTTGACCAAAGGTTACTGAAACTAAGATATTTAGGTACTCTGTTAAAGACAGCCCATACATTAAACTCTTAAGGAGTTGATTGCAACTCAGATGTCTGGAGAGCCCATAAATGCAGCAGTCTGCACTAAAATAGATGGGTAGTTCCTGCATTTAATATTTCTGGAGAACTTACCCAACCTTTATACTTCCATCAACTCCTTTCAAAAACAAATCTTTAAAATGCTCTTGAGTACTTTGGTGTTGCTTTTCAAAGATACGTAGTTAAAGAAGCAGCTCTGAAAGTCAGAAAGGTCTGTTTTCAAGGAAATCTGCATCCTGAACCTATTGCAATAGGATGGCACCAGGTTCATTCAGGATCTGAGAGTAGTTTGCTAGAGAAGTTAATAAACTGTAACAAACCTTCTGTGACTCAGGACCATAAGAATGGTTTTGCTAGCCCTTTTCCTTCCTTAAATGAGTTTGTGTATTCCTCGTCTTGTAATTTGCTACAATTCTTAAAAATTACTACTTTTTTTTTTTTTTTTAATAAAGGAACACTCCATTCAGATAAAGTAGCTTGCTGAGATGAAAGGGAGTTCTGCTTTTAAAACTTGAGTTCATGTGAGGCAGTGATTAAACTTTGACCAAATGACTGGCAGCTATTTTCTCATTTGTCCAACTAGATGATGTTTCAGAACACTCATAGACGCCTATAGTAGCCTAATGATTAACTTGCACTGCTCTTTGGGATTAATCTTAGCTTCAGAAAGGTGAATTTACTTTACCATCTGACTGACTAATCTAGCTATTGCTTTACTTTATTATCCACATTTTCACAGTGTATACAGGTTCAGATGCTATGTCTGACCACAGCATCAGTGCTTGACTTAAATAATGACTTAAATAATGCTTGAATAATAGTGATATAAAGCAGTTGATAAAGCTGTAGATGAGTGATGTCCTCATCACTTCTGGATATACAGGCTGTCTATTTGTAATATACATTACAATACAGTTTATATTATGTGTTTAAATACTAGCTACACAAAGCAGAAACTTCGATTACTGTAGCAGTAAAGGAAAGATTTAAGAAACTCTGTTTAATATTTCTTTCTTCCAAAACAGGTAGATACTCTTATCATGATGTACAAAACACACTGTCAGTGTGTCCTTGACAATGCAATTAATGGGAACTTTGAAGAGGTAAGGTTGTTTGAACACACACTTTTGGTTCATATGCATGGGAAGACAAAAAAGAATGATTTATGTCTGTGAATCTGGTTCCTATTCCTTTAGATCCAGCATTTCCTATTGCATTTCTGGCAAGGAATGCCTGACCATCTTCTTCCTCTGCTTGAAAATCCCATCATCATTGACATTTTCTGTGTCTGTGACTCAATACTGTATAAGGTACGTTAAGCATTTAGCTACCTGAATAATCTCACCCCCAGCGCAGCTTCTGCATCTGTAAAAAGATAGAATGACAGGATGACATGACTGCTTTCTGCTGTAAATCAGCAAGGAAATCACTGAAATCAGGAAATAAAATGAGCACCTGTAAGAGCTGAACTCCAGTCTCAGCTCAGCTGAACACCTGGTGTGTGACCACGGGCAGCACAGCAACAGTGAAACCTTGACATACTTCCTTGAATGTAGCTAAAAGAAATGCTCATGTGCTCCCTGACAAGGCTGACTAAGGTAATCCTGGATGAAAACTGAAGCCTTGTTTTCACTGAAAAGATTATTACAATTTCTACCAGAAAAGAGAGTCTGTGGAACATCAGTTGGGTGATTCCAAATGCCAGTCTGCTGCTCACAGGTTATGTCAGGCCATGGTTTCATGGTACCAAGCTGGAACAATACTGGGTTAAGACATTCTTGCCCCTCCTGCCAGCTGCCTTTCATTTCTGTTATCTTGCTGATGGATGTACCAGCAAAACTGCTACACTCTAAACTGCTCTGGGTTTCAAAAAAATTCAAGGAATACTGGTCTGGGGAGCTTTTGTACCATATGAGTCCTTTGATTTAACTCATGGCATGACCACATAAAAAGTTGAAACTAAGTGACCCTTAGGAGTCAAGGAAGGGTCAGGAATAAGTTATAGAGTGCCGGGGAAAAAACATTATTTTGCCACCAAAGTTTCCTGAGTTTTTAATGTGGAAAGTCAGATCACATGATTATTTAGTAGATACAAAGTACTTTAAGTTTCTTTGATAGGACATGCCATAGAAATAGGAAAGGATTCTCATATAAGTGTCTCTCTAACAGATTTCATATCAGATATTGATGAGAAGAAATAACTATTGGTTTAATAGTAAACACTAACCAATCAAAACAAAACACTTGAAGCTTTTTAGATCTGATGCCTTATTGTAATCTGTCTTTCTTTACTGTACAAAAATATGGGTGAAAGATCCAGAAAAGATGAAAATATGTATTTCTTAAAAATGTAAAAAGCTGTAAAGTAAGAAGTGTTTTAGTTAGCATAGTAAAGCAAAGGTAATTAGCATAGAGAATAATAATTACTGCCCAGGAGATGGGTCATTAAGCCTCATTTACTTGTAGAGGTTATAATGTACCTTGAGTTTATGAGGTTTTTCCTGCTCTAAATGTGTTGTCTCAATAGATTCAATATTAACTTCATTTATGATAGATTTAATGTGACAGAAGAAGAAATACTAGAGGGGCATTAAATTATAAATTGAATAAGACTGAATTTCTCAGAAGTTCATAAATTTACTATTGTGCCTCTTTGTTTCTCACTGTTTCTTATCTATAATCATGTTAGATATTTTTGACATCTGACAGAAGGAAGAAGGAATTACATTGGATTGTCATCAAACTATTTACATGAACAGAAAGGAGATTTCTGGAATATTGTCTAACAACTTTGTCCTCCACAGTAATATTCCCTAGGGGGCATGCCAGATGGCACAGTTTTTTTGCCAAAACTGTTCCACACCACACTTAGCTACATGGAACTCTATGGCTAAACTCTGAATGCCTGCATTTCCATGTCCAGTTTGGTAGAAAGAAAGAGTCAACAGCATTCAAAGACTTGGGACATCCTTGAGTATCTGCTTTACAGAGATGTGGTGATGCTAGACAAGACAAAGTGTTTATGCAACTCACTTCTGCTGGTTTCCCTTCTTTAAGACATGGGGGATAGCATGTTCTCTTTGTTTTTTTTTTTCTCATTTTACTGCTATGAAGATACACAATAAGTATATAAATGTCTCATATGTTCCTGTCTAATAGTGATTGGAGAAATCCAGGCATATAAATATCTAGACAGTAGGTTGAATGGCTTTATTCTGTGTAAATTTTCTGCAATTTAAGTAGACAAGACAGACATGAGTGAATGGCCAGTGGAAGCATGATGTCATTTTCTGTTAACTTTTTGAAGGTTCTTACAGATGTACTCATCCCTGCAACAATGCAAGAAATGCCAGAAAGGTAGGTATTTCAAAATAATCATGGTACATTCCGATTTTTAGGCATATTCCAGATAAATACCAGTAATTCCATATTATAGATAAATTTTCTCACAGTATTTATGCTCATTTTTAGAACAGTAGAGTATGTATGGAAAAATAGTGTCAGCTCTGAGAGGAGCTATAGAATAGCCTTAAAATATTAGATAGCACTTTAGTGTCCTAATTGGCCCACAGTTTTTCCCAGAGGAGGTATGTATCAACATGTATTCAATATATACATCAGTGATTGATCATTTCCTGTTTCTTTTGGTAAAACCTGAGGAGGAATTTCCAGATATGTTCAGAAGTCTGTTAGCCATAGATTGAAACCCAATTATTTAAACTAATGCCGGACAACTTTTATTGGTGATTCTCTAAATCACTTTTTGTTTCCCTTATAGTTTACTGGCAGATATAAGAAGTTTTGCAAAAAACTGGGAACAGTGGGTTGCTTCCTCTTTGGAAAATCTACCAGAAAGCCTGATAGATAAGAAATTGCCTATTGCACGAAGATTTGTTTCTTCCCTGAAACGACAGACGTCATTCCTACACCTAGCACAGGTAAACAGAAAAAGATTATACATTCAAAAATGTGTCAGTTGTAGTCATGGTACCTTTCTGGCTATGAGATACAATGCATTATTTTTTCAATGTTGACCTTCAGCCATGGAAGACATAAATCTTGTAGTTTAACCATTAAATTAGAAAGTGACCATAAAGAGATCTGACCAGAACTTTAAACTTTTGTACCAGAAAATAGAGCAAAGAACATGGTTATAATGAACTACCGTCACAGGAACTATTTTCAATAAAATTATCAAGTGGAATATATGTGTATTTTGTTTAGTACCAAATTGGAAAATACTGGATTATTCTTCTTGCCTAGCAAAGATTCGCTGTCTTGTCCATGTTGTTCTATTTCTATTCAAGTTTTGAGTGGAAAGAAGAAATGGGAGTGACAGGTAGTTGGAGACTCCAAGGCTATGTTGTCGGGATACAGGTGTCTGCAATGAGGAGTCACGTCTATGTGATGGTTTTGTAGATTATCCAAAAGAATGCAATGCCTTTTGAGGAACTTCCTTCCGTGCTGGCAAATCTTTGCCTTTGAGGTGATAGTCCTCATGAATAACTGTAGGCACACCAGAGATTCTTCTTGACTTGGTTTTCTCTTTCATAAATACAGAAGCAGCATATGGGTGTTCTTGTGAAGATAATCTGATAGGAAGGCACATTAGAAGAGCATCAGGAGTCTAATGAAAGGGAAACATCTCATCTGATCTGTGATAAACCCAGCCATGACAATAAAATTAAACATAAGATTCTTCTCTGAGCAGTTTTTTGGGTGCTCCCCAGGTGTGGGTCTGGACTAGTTTTGGCTGGGACAGAGTTAATTTTGTTCATCATAGTATGGGTCTATATTTTGTATTTGTACTGGAAACTATAGATCACTCAGAGCTATTTTAGTTACTGCTGAGCAGTGTTTACACACAGCCAAGATCTTTTCTGCTTCTTACACCACACTGCCAGCAAGTAAGTTGGAATAAAAAATTAGCACAATTTAGCTGGGGACATAGGTGGGACAGCTGGCCCCAGCTGATCACAGGGATATTCCTTACCACAAATCAGCAATAAAACTGGGGGGAAGTTTGGCAGGGGACCACTGCTCAGGGACCTGGCTGGGCACTGGCCAGTTGGTGGGTGAGAAATTGTTTTAACTGTTGTTTTTTGGTGTTTCTTTTAAACTTTTAAATTATTGTTGTTGTTATTTTTATTATTTCTTTTTAAAAATATCAAACTGCTTTTAACCTAACCAACAAGTTTTCTTACTTTTTATTCTTTAATTCTCTCCCCCATCCGTTGGCAGTGTAGGAAGTGAGTGAGTGGCTGTGTGGTGCTAAGCTGCCAGCTGGGGCAAAACCACAACAGGATCTCAGGATTTGACCTTGCTTTCTCTTGCAGATTGCTCGGCCAGCTCTTTTTGATCAGCACGTGGTGAATTCCATGGTGTCAGATATTGAAAAAGTCGATTTGAACAGTATTGGTTCTCAGGCCCTCCTTGCAGTTTCAGGGAGCACAGACTCTGATGGGGAAGTCTACAGTGAATGTAAGTCCATGGTGATATAGTTTTACCATTAAAAGTACATTCTTTCATTCCATGCTACACCAATCTGCTTGGACTGACTGAGACAGGGCACTCATAGACTCTGCATTCTCTAATCTAGTTCATAAACCATAAACTTCAGTAGGTTAAGAAAACCAATTGGTTGCCCTGGCATATCCTACAAGAACAGAAGCTTGTGCTGGAAAGTCCTCCCAGCTAGATGATTTTAAATGGTTGCTGAAAAATTCGTTTACATGTCAGTTGCAAACCTCTTTTGAAACTTGGCCCTATCTTATGTGGGGATATTGCACAGATCAGTTATTGAAAGGTTTGTCTGAAATTCCATTTCATTATGGACTAATGTAATGGATATTTTAACTAGTTTACTTTTTTAAAAATCAATAGTATTTTCTTCTGAAAATTGAACTTTAAAAATATATGCAATTTTCTATTTAGTGTAGCAGCTATTTTTATACACAAAATAGAGTGAAGTAAAATTTTTGAGTTGGTTAATTTTCATATACATTGTTAAAAAATAAATATAGTCATTTTCTCTATTAAAAAGAGAACTTTGTCATAGGAGTCATGTTGGTGAGAGTTTCAAGAGCTGAAAGGAATGTGTTGTCCTGTAAATATTATTTTTTTGTTATAACAGTTTGTTTTCTTTAATTATTCACAATCCTGTTCACATTTTCATTTGAGTTGCCCCTTTCCCACTTTTTTTGTGTAGTTATTTTTTATTTTATTCTTTGTCTTCTTTCACACTGGTTAAAAAAGAAAAAAAAAAAGACGAGAAATAACTGGTCCTTCAGGCACTTTTTTGAAAATGGAAATTGAGGAAATTAACTTTATATCCTATTGTGAGAAACTTGTAAAATATGAAAAAAAATAAGACACTGCAAAATTGCCATATTACAGGGAAAGCTTTATTAGTAAATGTAGTATTATGGAAATTGAGGAAATTAACTTTATATCCTATTGTGAGAAACTTGTAAAATATTAAGAAAACATAAGACACTGCAAAACTGCCATATTACAGGGAAAGCTTTATTAGTAAATAAGAAAGGTTTTCAAGATTGAATCTACAAAGGAATGGAATATACAATAATCTTGTTTTGCTTTTATTTTCTTATAAAACTTCATTGTCTTACAACCTGTACCATTGTAATGCTTAAGTAATTAAAATACGTGTGTGTGATGGATGTGTGTGTGCTTGCTTTGCTGGGGAATTACTTATTTCTTCACTGCTCTAATTCTTTGATTTTCCTTTCCATGCTACAATATTGTCATATGGCTGGTGAGTGGCTTTTTCTCATGTTTGGAATAGAGTGCGATGATATGTTCTCCTTTTTACATGGTAGATGACTCTATTACAGTGTTCCAAGAACTGAAGGACCTCCTAAAGAAGAATGCCACTGTGGAATCATTTATTGAATGGTTGGATACTGTGGTTGAGCAAAGGGTTATCAAGGTACCTTTCAAATGTTCTGCCTGACTCCAGACCAAATCCTACTCCCCTAACTCCTCATGCAGTCCCACTGATTTTCCAAAAGCAATTGTCATCTCTGCTCCTATCTCCTTTACTGTGACAGGGAAGTTTGTCATTTGGTGTCAAAGATTCCAGCGATATTCGTCCAGATTAATCATGCTGAGTGGTCTTATGTGTGTGACAAACTTAAGTATTGTAGCTAAGACACTAAAGCCAGCACTTTCACAAACTGTACATGACAGAAACCCTCTGATATTATGTGTGCCTGCAGAATCACAGAGGGATTGCTCTGAGAAAGGTGAGCCAAAGTTGTTTCTTAGAGAAGCAATTCTCTCTTCCATGGCATTTAGGTGGTACTGTGTGTGGTATAAGTTACTGCAGCATGTGGATTCAGAAGTAGCTAGCCTCCTGAAGAATTTCTACATTTCAGGATGGAAGATACAGTTCTGTAGCTTTGTAAGGTGCTTAACTCAGTAACTGGTTGTTTTGATGGGATTCCTCTTCCCATCTCCAATTACCATGATGCATTTTCATCACAAGTATTTTATGTGCCTGTAGTTATGCAGGAATTAATAAACTACAGCTCAGAACAAAAGAAAGGATATTTTCTTATAGCTGAGTAAAAGATATTTACCCAATTTGTGATTCTAATTACTGTAAACTAGTAGAATGAGGTGTTACATATTGTTGGCTAATAGATGAACACTGGTCTTCTCACCAGACTTTTTTTTATCTGAAAATGCAATATCTTATTCATCATTTCAGGTAGGATCTTGATATGAATGGGTGCAAAAAGATGAGACAGTACAGTCAGCATCAACTGGCTGGCAGAAGAAAGACTGCTACTTACAGGAAAACCATAGGCATGCCCTTTTCCTTTCTTTGCCTGTTTTTCCAAATTTCAATGGAGGCAGTGATAATTTCTTGCTTTTTAAAGTTCTCTGAGTTTCCTAGCAATTGCTGACACAATTGCTGACACTGTGAGCAGCACAGCTTTGGATTACTCAGGACAGCAGAGCCAAAGCAAGTCCTCATATACACAGAAATCTCCCTAGGCAAAAAAAAAATCCCTTTGAAGCTGAGTAGTCTCAATTTATTTTAGACTGGAGTGATTGTGGTCTAAATTTCATTCCACAATTTCAGAAGACAATTCCTGATAAGCAAGTCAGACAGAAAAGGTGAAGCAATTCTCCATTCAGCATCTACTATGTGATACCATATTGTTAAAGCTAATGAGTATGGTTCCTAGAATTGTTTTCCTGTATTTAAGGGAAGAAGTACTAACAAGTTTTGATATGAAGCTAGGTCAACTTGAGCAGGAGCTAATCATTTACAGAACATGTAATCCTTCCACTGCTGTTTGCCTTCTGTTCATGCTAAAGTGTGGCTACTGTCAAGCCCACACATCTTCTTTCTGCTTGCTGTTTGAGAAAGTAACAAGGTATTTGTTACCACACAAACAAATCACTGCCAGAGCAAAGTGACTGTATGAAATGAGCAGTATTGAAAGCATCACTTTGATCATCATGATGGTAACATACCATTCTGTAAGAGAGATTCTGACCAGTATTACACAGATTAAATTAAAGTACAAAGACTAATTTCTATTCTCTGTTTTTATGGGATAACAGTGCCAGAGGGTGGGACCATCCTTTCTTCCTTCCTGCCTCCCAGCCTCCCTCTCCTCCTCACCTCTATAGTTACAGAACAACTTGACACCTTTAATAGTAGAACATGGAGTACTTTATGTCCCATCAGGCCCAAGCAGTAAGCAGTTTGCTTCATCTGACATTGACAGACAACATTCTGTGATTGCACTGGAAGGAGTGGAGCCTGCTATTTTACCAAGTTAGGTCACACAGCAGGGAGATAGTTTGAATCAGGCAGCTTGATTCACATCAGTCTGAGTTAAGGAGTCCTTAACTCTCAAGGATATTCAGTTCTTCTCTCCTGTTGGCACAAAGCAAGTGAGCATTCCTAACAGTATTTTACTGTTCTCTTTCAGGCAAGCAAGCAAAATGGGAGGTCTTTAAAGAAGAGAGCTCAAGACTTCCTTCTGAAATGGAGCTTCTTCGGTGCTCGAGTCATGCATAACCTAACTCTAAACAATGCATCAAGTTTTGGTACCTGAACTTTATAAAGACACTCATATTTTGTACATATATGTTCAGCAATTACCAGCTTTCCACTATTTCCTGTGCTGAGGAACCCATCCTAATCTAAAAATTATTTGATCAAAGCCACAAATACTGTGTGATGTATTTTTCAAACTAATATTTCACAGTAAATGCTAGCAATATTTTGCTGGTGACCTCTGTCATAGGCTTGTTTGTAAATGGTATTTTTCTTTTTAATTGCTGTTTTGGTACTGCTTTGATATTTAAGTGCTAGAAACTTTGTTTGTTTTAATATTGCAATGACCGCATATCTCAGTGTAAGAGAAAATGTAAGAGAAAAAAGATTTAAATTATTGGTTTTACCTGTGGATCAGTTTGGTCAAAAAATGCTGTATATAAGTTTAAAACATAGTATGTTTTTAAAAAAATTTAAAAAAAAAAACAAACAAAAAAAAAAAAACAACCCCAAAAAGAAATTGGCAGTCATCACACACTTAATTCTGGAATCAGCAGATGATCGATTTAATAGTGTTTGTGGCTTTTAAAAATTTAGGGTCCCACATGCATCTTTAGGAATGTTTACATTTTTGGGAACACTCAGAAAGAGCCTTATATAAGAGAGAAGATGGCAGAGCAAGTGAAACAAACTCTAGTATGCAATGTCATATATTTAGCCATACGTATATTGTTATTTAAAATTCAGAGGGTATTTGAAATTACTGTAGGGACACATATTGTTTAATGTGATATATCCCTGAAATAAGGTCAAAGACTTTACCAGTTATTGTCTGGTTATTTAGCACAAGGCAAACAGAAATAGAGCAGAGGCATTCTAGCAGACTTCAGCCTTATCTAGTTCCACTGTGTGCTCTCTTCAAGTATAAAGCATGTCTCACTTTCATCAGTATTTTTCTTTGATGTAATTAGTGGTCAAATAGCCTACAGGACAGTAAACAATTGAGCTAGGTGGGCCAGTGCAAAGAGAGATTAGAGCTAGAAGTTAGGCACTATTCCTTGTTGGTCTTGCCAGGTCATTTAAAGTCCACAATTATTTGTTTGTTTCACTGGCTTCTTGTGGAGTGGTGAGAGATGGTCACAAAGATAACTCAGCTACTCTCTCTCTCTCTTTCTCCTCCAAAAGGTTCTTTTCATTTGATCCGCATGTTACTAGATGAGTACATCCTGCTTGCCATGGAGACACAGTTCAATAATGACAAAGAACAAGAACTCCAGAATCTACTGGACAAATACATGAAGAATTTAGGTAACTAGAGCTTACTTCTTTGTATTCCAGTATGTTTAGGAATTGATGTATTTGTTTAAGCAGAAGCAAGTGTACAGTGTTCTCCTGAAGGTGTGGTTATGTGCAACATTGTCAAATTCTCCGAAAGTTTGTGACCATTCACTCAGCAATTCATGCCCACCTTCCTACCACAATTCAGTTCACAGCATTTTGTTGGAATGTCAGTACTAAGGATCACTGAAATTACCTTGGATGCAGCAAAGACTTGTAGGTACATCTGAAGGGCCATAAACTGAAGTGCAAAAAGAGGTATAAGTAGCAGAAAGGGCAGGAATTGCTAATCCATTTTTTCCCCAAATCTTAAATATGTAATTACAACTTCAACCAGGAATCTATTAACTGTTTCCAGAGTGCAAATATCCCTTCATCCCAACATCAGAACACAAGTTTGGAGCCCTATTTATCATGTGGTTGAAGTATTACTTTATGGAAGAGAAATAAAATTGTTTGAAAACAGTATCCTTAACATTTTTCATCTACTAAGCTTCTTCAAAGTTAGACAGTTTGAAATCATATGTTTCAGGTCCTTTGCTATAAAAAGAATGAAGATTGATTTGAATCAAGTTCTGGTCCAAATTAATAATGAAAATTCATTGAAACTTCAGAAACTTGCAGAATTATTTTTTATTAGTATCAGCACTGGCAGTCAATCCTTAATTTTTTGGTTATTGTTACTCTAAATCTGCACTTTACTACAGGAAATATGCATAGAATTTGTCTGACAGTAAGCGCTGCACTTCTTTCAATTCAGCCTCCAGAAGAAAAACTTGGCCTGCATGACAGTTGCCTTATCCTTGTGTGTTTAGGTGAAGTACTTGAAACCATAAGGTAAAATCATGGTTTCCTCTGAAGAACAGCAAAACTGACTTTATCAATAGTCTGCAAAAAGCTGAAGAACTCTTGAGTATAACAAATGTTTTTCTCTAGATATCAATATGAAAAGAGAGTTCAGGAATTCTAAAGTTGCCATTGTTAGTTCTTTAGGATGAAATGTTGATCCTGATTCATTCTTAATACACTTACTTTGACTTCATTGTTGACATTTACTTCAAGGAAATAAATCTGATTCATGCTTTCAATATGATGGCTTCAGTAAGGAGCTGAAACTGTGTGATGTAGATCTATGGTCAGGGAAAATGATGCAAAGAGAACTTCTGTGCAGTGAGGGTACATAACAGCCAACAAGGGTTTTCATTTACCCTTCCAGATGCAAGCAAAGCCACCTTCACTGCATCACCAAGCTCTTGCTTCCTAGCAAATCGCAACAAAGCCGCTCCTCTGCCCAGTGACACTTCAGTCAAAAATGAGTGCCTAGGAGAGCAAACCTATGTGTCCTTGTCAGCTGGCCAGCCCAGCAGTGCACCTCCTGGTCTGAACCCCTTCACCGCAGGAGATGGGGACAGTATGCAGCTGACAGGTGTGTATCAACTCTTCCATCTTCTCCTTCCCTAATTTGATTGTTAGTCTTTCAGTTCGTGGCAGCATGTTGCTGTAGGACTAACAATGACCACATGCATTTATGAAGACCTCTAGTAAACAACATTTCATGAGCTCACCTTCTGTGGAGATTTACAGAAGTCAGCAATTGTAATTACCCTTTCAGTAATAAATAATTCCTCTTGGAAAAATGGTAAAACTATCTTAGAACTCTTGGCTTGGTGAGGTTCTTGTGAGTAGAGAATGAGCAGTAAACCTGGAGCACATGAGGAGTGTAACTGTTGGGAATTCCCACTGAATGTGGCACCTCTAAGCTGAAGAATGAAAGGGAGAAGTTTTATACCCTGAAGCCATGAAATTAAAGCTGTGAATTATATAGGTGGGGGCCAGTGCATGTCTTTTGTAAAGGTTTCAAATGGTTATCTGCACTTCATTAAAGGGTTTGTGTCTTAACAACAGTACTGAGGTATGGACACTAATCACAGTTAATGTTTATTGATTCCAGATCAAATGGAGCTGTCTCAAAGCACTGGTCACCTCATGACTCCACCCATCTCACCAGCCATGGTCAGCCGAGGAAGTGTGATCAACCAGGGGCCAATGGCTGTGAGACCTCCCAGTGCAGGTCCCATGCTATCGACACATTCACAGTGCTCTTCCTACTCAGAACCCCTTTACCAGACTTTGTCACAGACTAATCAGAATTACTATGGAAACAATTCCAACTACCAGGCTATGTTCAGGACACAGGCCCATTCCACTTCAGGAGTTTATGACCAGAGAGCAGAGCCCAGTCGATTCAATGCCTTGAGTGAACAGCAGTTCTCCAGAGACTACTTCAGCAACAGTTGTGCCGTGTCTCCCTACAATGCCAGATCCCCTTCCAGCTATGGTCCCTCTAACATGTCTCAAGACACACACAATATGCAGTTTCTGAATAGTGGGAGTTTCAATTTCTTGAACAACTCAGTATCTTCATGTCCAGGAGCAGCTTATCCTGCTAATGCTTCCAATGGTATTGATACATATTTTCTTTTTCCTTTTGTTTCTCTTTCGTTGCTGGAGTAAAACACCTTTTCTCTGCATTTTTTTCTATGGAAGATGTATTTCAGCTTTTATTTATACATTCCTGTTTTTCGCTTCTCTGATAACACACAGAGATTGTAAAGCAGCTTAATAAGCAACTTAAGGGTTTATTTTCCTCTGGTGAATTCTCAGTTGACCTCAAATTTATCTGCTGCCCTATGTTAATCTTCCTTTGGTATCACCACCATATCTTGCACAAAGGAAGCAAAACCAGGACGATCTTATGGTTTAACAATATATTGAAAAGCCCCCAAAACATTTGCTATGAAACAGAGGAGATACAAGATAGTTTACTTCAGGGATCAGCATAATGGACCATTTGAGTTGCAGGGTGGAAAGAAGTATAAAAATGTGCACTAGCAATAGTTTGGGACTTTGTCCCACTCATTTCTCAAACTTCAAAGGTAAAATTACTGCTTCAGTGGTATAGTCAGCAAAACACCTCCCTCTTCTGGACGAAAGACACAGTGGAAATGTTACTTTCATGTGGATTTGTCTATGCAGGGAGTGCATATTACCCTGCAGATTTTCTTTCCTTCATTGCAAGCTTCATAAGGAGGCACTGAACTCTGCATAGGACTCCCCGTGGTATCTCTTAAGACCAATGATTGCAGGCTATGTTTGATTCTGAAATTAGAAGGAAAGAAACTGAAGGCATGACTGAACCCTTACCATATTTTGGTTTCCTTGTTACCACCTCTCTTTTGGATCTGTCTTTACATATGCTGCTTATTTTCCTGAGCTGTGTGTGTATATAAATAATCTTATTGTGAAGGGCTTCATCCAATAACAACTACTGTTTTTCCAAGGTTGTCACAGGCTCATACACTACCCCGTAGTTTCATTCATCTTCTTTTTTTCAATCTTCAATTAGGATATTATGGAAACAGCATAAATTATTCAGAATCTCACAGACTTGGAACAATGGTGGACCAACATGTTTCTGTAATCAGCAGTGTCAGCAGCATTCGGCCACTGCCATCCTACAGTGATGTACATGATCCACTGAATATCTTGGATGACAGCAGAAGAAAGCAAACAGGCTCCTACTACTCAGATTCCTCACCTTCTATTGTCTGCCGGACCCCTATGTGTAAGTACAGCCAACAACTGAGGAGCAGCTGTGAACTTTTCACTATCCTATCAAATGCTGGGTATTAAATTGTAGCTCCTGTACACTGTATATGAAATGAAACATAGAGGTGAAGCAGCTCGGTACTTAGGATGTGTTTTCCTTAAAACTGAGTTTAATAAATTTGCTTCCATAAGGAGATCTATAATCCATTGTCTAGGAGCAGTAGAATGATTGGCCTGAGTTGCATAAAAATATGTATTAGAAAGCACTTTCTGATTATTAAGTAAACTAATAATAGACTGGGCTTTTCTAGAGTCTCTTGGAGATCCTCACTGTCAAACAGATCAAGTGAATCCTGGGTCAGGGGTGTCTCAGTATATACTTCCTGTGCTCTGGTCCCCCATTCTCTGCTTCAACAACTGTGTAATAGGCAAAGCTCCCACTGACAGTGAATTTTAGGCAGAAATACTGAATCCTGAAGGGTTTGTTTTGCTATATGCCTTAAACAAATAGCAGCCAAGTTGGGTCTCACATTCCAAAAACGATTGCATGGAAGATATAAACTAGGACACTTTATTTCTACACAAGATTACACCTTCCTACTGCTTACCTGTTAATCTTGCACAGAAGATCAGACATTTCTGTCCTTCAGATAATGTACCTTGTAGATAGGAGTTTCCATCAAATGAAACTGAATTGTGATTTCTGTTAAATTCAATAAATTGAAAATTTGCAGTGACGGTAACCTTTTTTTCCCCACAGCTTCAAACTTGCAAACCACATCTTCTTCACAGTGTATGTATGGAGCATCTGGTCAATTCCCTTCCCAGGAAAATCTGGAGGTCCATGCCCCACCAAACAGAGATATGGTGCCATCTTTACCACCAATCAACACTGTCTTCATGGGAGCAGCTGCTGGAGGAACCTGAGAGAGACGTGTCTGTGCCCTAAGCTTACTTTCCAATCCCAGACATTCAGGCTGTGATGATAATCCCCTTTCCAAGTTGGTGGAAGATAAAAGTAGTACATATAGTTGTTAAAGAAGCCATTTTAGCAATGTTATCAGCTCTCCACATACAAAAAATAGCTATATTTAGATTGGGTCCTGCTTATGAATCTCTCAGGATTGCTCTCACCATTACAGATTTTCAGTCAGAAATTCAGGGTAAGCAGAAAGAGACAGTGATTCTTGCACGCGAGAATAAGTTGTAAAGAAATTATTACATCTATTCCTAATTTATTAAAAATGCTATTTTAGTGTTTCCCTTATATCTTTTTTATATATATAAAATGTTTATTTAATGCCTGTGTTGCTCATTATTTATTAGGACCACAGAGTAACTGTTTACTTTTTCATATTTGACAGATTGTCAAATGTATGTATCCTACCTCCTATGGAAATGTTTACAAGGTCAGTTTTTACTGTTTTAAATGAAACTAAGCCAAACTATAAAGTTTTCTACTGTTGTTCTCTGGAAAGTCAATTTCAAATGTTTAGTGCCTACTTGTGTAAGTGAAAGTCCTCAGGAAATAAATAAAACATATTATGGAGACTTTATTTCTCTTCCTCTTAAAATAAAACCAACAAAACATGTAAATATCATAAGCTAACTAACTGCAGTAGCCTGCTACTGTAGCTGGATAACTGAAGGAAATGAAACTATGCTAGTAAATGTCATGGGATTTCAGAATTACCTGTGGTATGAGCCCAAAGTTTTTTCTGATGGAAATCCATAAAAATACATTCATCAGCTTTCACTGGTTTAGGGCAACTGTGTAAACTGAGACTGAAAGTAATAAAGATTATTAAAAAATTTGCAACCCTTCAATAGCTATTTTAATTTTAAAAAGTGTTTTACAGATGCCATGATAATCTGTGCACAAACACACATTTATTTATGTTTCTGGAGAAGCCAAGAATATTCACTAGTGGTGTTAGAGAGGACAGAGAAGAGAATACACTTACAAAACAAACTTCTTGCTATGCATTCATGAAATAGCAGGTGTAATTTTATAATCAGATTATCCCAACACCAGACTCAGGTTTGGATTTAAATCCATTCCCATTCAGTCCATTAAATATATGCTGAATATTGTAGAAATTAAGAAAAGTGCATTTTTGGTGGAGGAAAATGGATGATACCAGGATGAAGCTTTTCATTCCAATTCTGTAAAACTTCCTTCATTATCTCTATTTGAGAAGTCTGCAGAAAAGCAATCAAAAACATTGGCTTGGGCTAGGTTGTGAATAATTCTGGATATGAAACACTTTATGTAGGAAAAAAGACACCATAGTTCAATAATTGAGAAGTGGAAGACTTCAGCTCAATTGCTTCCTAATTCAGGATGAAGACTTAGGCTGTGACCAAAAGTACTATAAAGGTGGGAGAAAGCTTTGGTTTCTATACAAATTCACAATGAGATGTAATGGTAACACAGATTTTTCAATATTTATTGGACAAAGATTTGTAGCAAATGAAGTAAGTACTGCAAAAGAGTTCTTTCTTCATGACTGTTTGGGATGTATTTTGTCCTAAAATTAGTCCTATAAAAGTCAGGCTCCCTCCCTATGTATGCAGATCACCTCTATAGTCAGTGACAGGAGAGGAGATACCTCCTGTTCCAAGGAGTTAAGATGGGAAGGGGAGTACGATGGTGAGGGATATGCCACCAGAGCAAGGGATATGTCACTATCCTGAGACCCTTGGCTCCCTCAGCTAACCAGTGACATGGCACAAGTAATTAATTTAAGGTCAAAACTTCCAGATTGTTGAACGTATGTGAGGGGAATATGTAGAATTTAGAGAAAGTAGGCAATCACTAGCAGACAGGGGCTTAGTCCATTAGGCTCTACACAAAATAAACGCTGTGTACATAATTTCTCATATAGGATATGGGATTTATATGCATCATTTCCAGTAATTTTATTGTTGATATGTAAACCATTTTTCACTGGGATTTGTTGGGTTTTCTTGGGTTCCCCCCCCCCAATAAATTGCTATGTCTTCATATCATCTGAGATAAGATATGATCGTATGTCATTAAATGTGCAGATTCTCCAGAAGTCTGCAGAACGCAAAGTAGCATGAAGTGCCACACTGTTGGAAATTGCAGTTCATTGTCAAGAGCAAACAGCAATAAAAATATTCTAATATTCAAATAGCCAGTTGAGAGAATTCTCTCATAATGCTTCAGAACAAAACAAACCCATCATAATTGTAACTAGCAAACCCAAATGAGAAATTTCCATTTTATGACCCATTAGTTCAATCAAATAAATGGTTTGATGAATTCAGTATGTTTTGTCTGTATAAAATGAAATAACTCATAGCTTTTGTGAATAGCCCTTGGGAAGATTTTATCTTTTGTGTTGTAACAGCATTACAGTAAATTATACGAAGAATGAATGGAGTTGCTATTTGGTGGTTTTGTATTAGTAAGTTCATTTGCATTTCTGTGAATACATTAATACATTGGTATTAATACATGCCTAGAAATCTCTGTTAAAAATTGTACTTATTGAGTTCAAGCAGTGTCAAATGAATCTTTCCTAAAGGAAAAAAACAAAGCCTTTTTTTTTTTTTTTGAGAAAGAAACATGAAAAATTAAACCTTTTTGATCTAATTGTCAGTAGCAATTACTCTGAACTAGGGCTAGGAAAGGTAAAAGAGGTGGGTGAGCGAGTCAAATGTGCTTCCACTTCTAAAGTAAAAGTTATTCTAATATAAATGATATCAACCAAGATGAAGCAATATTGGAGAAGAACCAATTGTCTTGTGTGTCATAAGCCCATGCCCTCGCTGTGCAGAATTTGTGCTAGAAGAGGGGTGCAATTCTTTGATCCTGAAGGTAATTAGGACCATGGGAATATTTCTTCAAACTCAAAATTTACAAGAAAGTTGACTTTTACCCTTAAATGTGCAGTGAAAGCACAGTGAAATGACTTGCAAATGGTAAACCTGTGTAGTGTTCTGTCATACCACACACCAAATCACTGATCAGATCAACATTGTCTCCATCTTGTATATAAGTGATTGTTGGTCACTGAGAGAAAGGGAATCTTTGGTGCAGAGCCATTTAGCAGAATCTCGTGCCTGGTGCAGACTATTAGAAGGTCACAGATACACAGGGGTAGGAACTGAGTGGACTTTAAGCTTATGGAGCAATAAACAATGGTACAAAAAATCCCTGCTCTTAGAGCACTTGGAGGAAACCTGTAGAGATATTGTCAGACTTAGAAAAGCAGATATTTGACACTAAAGAATCAATACAAGTCATTAATGCCATACCTGTGGACAGAGGTGAACTGCTACAGGCTGGGCATCCCACACCATCAACATTAGTATCCTAAAAGTAAAACTGGCCATCAAGCAAAACTTAAAAGGGTTGAAGCTGCCTGCTGGTGATTAGATCAGCATAATTCAGGAGGCTGAACCTGCTTTTGAAAACTGAGGATAGATTAGAATTAGTTTTAGGTTAAATATGCTCCAGGTTATAAGTAACAGGCTTTTGTATGAATAGTTTTGGGCTATGGTTTAACCGAAATCACTAACCTAATTTTACAGTTTGGATTAAATTCTGTATTAGCCAATGGATGTAGCCTAGGCAAGAATGGGCTGGTTGATGTGGGCCTTAGGACTGTTGCAAATAAGGGCTGGTAAAGCTATGGTAAATTGCCTGTCTGAAACAGGTTGTAGGTTTAGTTTCCATCCTGTTTGTAGGATTTGGGAATATCTATGACTGATTTTATGGGCTTGGATTCAGGCTATGTTGTTGGATGAGCCTGTATAATGCCTGAGCTTGGCTTGTGTCTTTTGCCATAAAGGTTTGCACTGTGTGTTTAACTTAATATAGTTAATTCTTGCACATTTGATGCTTTCTTGCTAGTGATGTACTCAGGATGGAGGTTAAATCTGATTTATCTTTGGCATAAGGGTTAACTTCAGAGGTTGGGTCAGCATGAAGCTGAGACCACAAAATATTGTTGGATTTAGAAGTGGCCATCAAGCTTGACTTAACGCTCTTGCTCAGAGGGACCCACAAACTATGCTGAATTCTAGGGAAAAAAAACAGATTGTAGAGAGAACAATATAGATTACTATTGTACTCAGAACTTTAATTATTATTGATTTAGAACAGGCAAAAGTGAGGTGTTTCTGCATGTTTCTGAATGTTTAGCAGGGGCTGTTGAGCTTACGCAAAGCTTACTTTCAGACCAGATGATCTAGTTATAATTCTAAGGTCTAGCCTTTAGACTTAGAACTGATTTGAAATTTACATTTGAAAATGAAAGAAGACTGGCCATTTAGGATAAAGCCAGATCTAGAAGGAACAAGTGAGACTAATTTGGAGTTTTAAGTGATAGAAATCACATTATCAATCATACTTCTGAGGCTGGCATTGTGCAATCTGAAGTTATGGCTGGGGTTCTGGCCAACATGAAGCAATTAACCTGAACTAATTATGCATTTAATACCTTCAAGGATTTAGGGTTATTACTGACATTAATAAGAGTCTTTAGTTCTAGACAAGAGTTGAAGTAAAAGTCTAGGACTAGGTCAGTAATTGTGTAATGCAGGATCAAGTAGTAATTGTGTAATGCATGTCTAAGTAGTCATTAGCTGAAACTTCTTTGATGGATAGGAGATGCATCTTCCACAACCTAAGATGAGAATAATACCTTTAACAGAAGGATTGTAGGACCTGTAGCCTCAAGAGAGATTCTGCAACATTACTAAGGCTTAGACCTCAAGTAACCAACACTACTGGGATGGTGAAAGGTCAGCAAAGCAGGAGATCTTACTGCAAACTCTGCTGCTTCCATGGTCACCAGACATTTGCAGCAACTACAAGTCTCAGCAGAATCCCTTCATGCAAGGACCTGAGGCCTTATGCCAATGAAGGCATAAGCAGGCAAAACAGGAGGAAA